ATAATCTTTGATGAACTTTATCAACATATTTCCTTAAAACACATCAAATTTTGCCTCCTTTTAACATAATGTCACCTTACCTTGAGCAGCATGAGGTCGTTGACACGTTCATTCTTGTTATAGCAGGGATGAGGAGCTTGTGTCTTCACCTTTAGGACCTGCCTGCTTTCTTTTTCTTCTTCTTTGATGGAGTGCACCCCCAGCAGCACTGTCTCAGTACTGTAAGAACAGAAACACACACTGTTGGTTAAGTTAAAAGATTGTGTAGAATAAAGAAAAAATGAGGACTTTTGTAAACAAGTTGATCATGTCAAATTTTATACATAGCATATTATATTTAATGTATTATCAATTATTATTAGATTAGATTAGGTAGTTGGAGATGATGAAGGGGCGAGATGGAGGACCAAGACTCCCTGTGGCGACCCTTGAAGAGGGAAAAGCCAAAAGAAAAAGAAGATTACATCTGATGCATTGATGAATAATAATTAAGAAAAAATTCTTGTGACAAATAAATAAAACTTGAACTGCATTTTCCTCTTTTTAATACAAATCTATGGTTTGATTCTGTTGCACAACTGTGAACTGAAACTTAATGTTCCGACACAAAGGTTTCATTACGAGCAAATCTTCTCTGAAGCCTTGTGCTTTCTGTGGTTTCGTCAAACCAGTGACATTTATATTGAGTCGTATCTTTTCTTTCATTGGACGTGCACGTCATGTGCTCAGAAATAACTGACCATTTGAAGTCATGCAACTTTAAATCACCATGTTAGCAGACACGTTACATTAAAATAGCCAAGTGTCTAAACTCATGCTTTGTGTGGTAGTGAGTATTTTTGAACTAGTCTGAGATAAAATTGAGCTGTCTTATTGTGAGTCATCCTAAGAAACACCGATGAAGCAAATATAAACTTGTCATCTGCAGCTTTCATTTTGTCTAAATAGAAATCAAGATAGTTGATGTGTGCAAACAAGAAAAAATGAAAAATCATTCAATTCTTGGACACAGTAAAAGAAAAGAGTGGTGTCCAATACTGTCCTTGTGGGCCACAGTGGCCCTCAGGGACCAGGATTGGGCACAACAGGTTTTAAACAATGTAAAAATTCTTAAGGAATTTGCAGAATTATCACAACCTGATTAGAAATTTGTGTTGCAAATGCAAATGTAATGCATAAGATGTTAGTTTTACTCGTTACAGTGTGCAGCAGTCAGGACCCATTTTGTGTCAATTAAAATCCCTCCGCAGATCGAGTTGTTTGTCTCCAGCAGAGCCATGTAGGGCAGCGAATGAGGCTGCACTTCTATCCCATTGATAATCTCAGAACCTTGACCTAAAACAAAAAGTATACAATTATCTTTTAAATTCATCTCAGGGACAGTAATAGTTACTAAAATAAAGAGACTGAACTTAAATAAATGTTACTCACTTGAGTCTACAATGAGGAGAAAGGTCCAGGGGATGAAAGCAGCGAAGCCCCTCAGAGAAAACATCTCCTCGTGTCTCTGTCTTTGATCTGGTGATGAGCGTGCCCCCACTCTTGATGGTCGTCCCTTTATGTGTTTGACTCAAAGGATGTGGTCTGACCATGGAAATGCACGAGTCAGCAAAAAGGATGTATTCATGACATGACACCTGATGCAGACGGTAACTCTGAATGTTGTGGTGACATTTACAAGAACTGATCAGAACCCTTCTATTCAGCAGCTGCAGAGGAGAGTATTTTAGTTTAGTTTAGTTTATGAGATGAAACTCATGCTATCATTGAGAGAGATCAGGTGGCAACATCTAAAAAGGAAAATACATCTCAATTTATTGGTTTGTGGCTGAGGCGAGCTGGTCTGGGAAGCTCAGTCCTCACCTCCTTCTACAGGTGTGCAGTGGAGAACATCCTGTGCTCCAGCATCAACATGTGGCATGGAGGCTGCACAGCTGCAGAAAGAAAAGCTTTGCAGAGAGTGGTGAAGGCTGCACAGAAGTCTGTCGGAGTCAATCTCCACCATCACAGACATCTACACCTCCAGATGCAGGAAGAGGGCCACTCTCATCATGAAGGACCCCACTCACCCAGCACACACTTTTTGCCCCACTCTCCTCAAGCAAGCAGTTGAGGAGCATTAAGTGTAGAACCACTAGACTGAGGAACAGCTTCTACCCTGAGGCTGTTAGACTCATGAATCTCTAACCAGGATAATCACTGTGAAAAATCACATCATGTTGCTGCTGATCTGTTTCATGTTGCTGCTGATCTGTTTCATTTTGCTGTGCTCATTCGTACTCATCTGCTCAGACAGACTCATGTTCATGCTGCTGTTCAATGTATTGTTTTTGTACTACTAGTTCTTAGCATATTTGTAGTTAATGTTTTTCTTAGTTCATATATTAGACCTTATTACTGTTTTTATTTAACATTTTGTATTTTTGTTGGATGTAACTGGGACCCTGTGTACACAATTTCTTTCCACCACATGTACCACATCTGGTGTGTATAACAAAAAAAAAACATTGAAACCTTGAATCCTTGTTTGTTTTTTGTTTTTCAGAAATGCTTTTTCCAGAAATTGGCAATAGCCAAAATGCAATGTTCCAGTGTTTACAGGAAGTGTCAAATATTTTATATTAAAGTTTGTACTTCATGGATTATTTGCTGTTGACTGTAATTTATGTTAGTATGGTATGTTGTAAAAATGTGATTTCTAAACTTTGAAACCTGTAAATTGGAAAACCAGACAAACACAAGGATAAAAAATATGAGTTTTCATATTCTGAAGATCTTGAACAAACATTTTGGTAGAGGTCTCAAGAAAACAGTGCAGTTTAGTGAGTCACCAAGTCAAGCAACAAAAGTTTTCCATGTATGTCATAACATTCATGAAGTGCTGTTATATAAACTCCACCAGAAAGACACAAAAAATATTTTCATAATTTTCAGGAATGCTATTTTTATTGGGAAAAGAAGAAAAAAAAGCATGTGGAAAGAAAAGAGTTATGCTCTTTTAGAAAAACAGCATAATTATATTTCAGCCATCTTCATGGTCTCCTTGATCCAGTCGAGCTGAATTCCTGTGAGAAAAGCGTACACCCCAGGCTTGTGTTTTATTCCACAACTTTCTCCAAAAGAAGTGACTCCAACCAGAGCTCCATCACATATTATTGGACCTCCTGAATCCCCCTGGATAATAATAAAAAATAAAAAAAAACACATGTTGGTCACATTTAAACAATCATTTAATTTAACATCAAAATAAAATGCAGTGAGTTGCACTTACTTGGCAGGTGTCTGCAACCTTATCACCATCGGAACCAGCACAGATCATGTTAGGGTAAATCTTATGGCTGCAGCCATAAAATTGAGCAGAGCTGCACTTTTCTCTGTCCATCACCGTCACGTTGACGGACATCAGGACATCTGACATCCCTTCCTCGTTGTACGCTGTTGTTCCCCATCCAGCCACCACACAGACGGAGCCGCCTTCTGGATCTTTGACATTATTATTCAGCCTGAGAGCCTTGACCCACTTGGTTTCCTTCACTGCCTCATCAAGCTGGAAAAATAATGAAATTAAATTACACTAAAAAAGTATATACT